TTTCGGTCCTTCAGTATCTGTCTATATTTCTGAGATGAGGTATTATGTACATTATTTACATTATTCGAACTATTGTCCTCATCTTTGTCGCCATATTTATCACAAAGTTACGGCCCTTCAGTATCTATCTATATTTCTGAGATGAGGTATTATGTACACTATTTATATTATTTGGACTATTGTCCTCATCTTTGTTGCCATATTTATTACAATGTTTCGGTCCTTCAGTATCTGTCTACATATATATATATATATATATCTGACAATAGTCCGAATAATGTAAATAATGTACATAATTCCTCATCTCAGAAATATAGACAGATACTGAAGGGCCGAAACGTTGTAATAAATATGGCGACAAAGATGAGGACATTAGTCCAAATAATGTACATAATACCTCATCTCAGAAATATAGACAGATATATCAGATATATCAGAGTAGTGAATATGTTTTTTTCCAGTCAACGAAGGAGAAAATACGATCTTTTGAGCTCGTCAAATAAATGCAAAGTTTTAATTTATTTCATCAAAGCTTCCAAAGTCTTAAACGCACATAATTCAGCTGACCTTTACGATGTGCTGATATACGGAAATCTACTTTCATAAATTTTCACGAAATCTTTTGCCGTTTGGTTTTGTATATATATTTTAAAATGAAAACTTTCAGTGGAGAATTCAATTGGGAGTAATTTATTGTAAGCGATTTTATTCGATAGACAACGTTGTTTATGGAAACACATTGGATTAATCTTTGGGGGATATTCAAATGTTCAACGTGTGTAAGAGAAAAATACCGATTTTCATTGTATCTTCATGAAATAGAAATTACAACTTTTTCAATGACAGCGATTCAAAATCATACAAATCTTCTAAAAAACATAAGCAAACAAGATAATGGAGTTGAAATTTGGTGATTGTAAAAGGTAAAGTTAAGAACAGTAGTATCACTTGTTATTGGAGCACTGATAACTCTAAAGATGTGATTTAATGACCTTTTTAGGGATATACAAAATAAAGAATATACAAGATAACTACTTAGGAATTTAAATCGTAGAAGAATTCTTGATGTAAAGTGGCACTGATCTTTTATTGAGGTTTGATTGCTTTGCAAAAACCGGAATGGAAATTGCAAAATGAAAAAAAAAAAAAAGAAAAAAAGAAAAAAGAAAAAAGAATTCAGTTTCTGATGAAAGTGGGTTATTAGAGTTGGTTATGTTCTAAAATAATTGTCGGACTTTGTCCATTTCATAATGTGTGACGTCATTTGTCTACATTTGGATACGCATTGAGCAGATATGAATGTCCGCGAGAGAATAATTGAGGATTGTAGTTTAAACACAGCATAATCGACCTCGCTAACTGAGACGCTCGTCTGTAGCGAAATCAGTAAAATAGCACCTCAGGCTATATGACGGTTCCGTATAGGATACAGGTTCGATTCCTGTCGGAGGACGCATATTTTCTATGACAATTTCTCGGACATTCAGGCCGGTAAATATCGTTATATACTGTTTATTATAAACAGAGCATTTACTTAAATATTTGTATCTATAAAAAAAATGTATAAAAATAAAAATGTCATTGTCCATTTCATAATGTGTGACATCATTTGTTTACATTTGGATACGCATTGAGCAGATATGAATGTCTGTGAGAGAATCATGCAGGATTGTATTTTAAAAACAGTAAAATCGCCCTTGCTAACCGAAAGCCCCTCTGTAGCGAAATTGGTTTATTAGAGTTTGCATTATTTTTAGTGGAAATCTTTATAAAGTTTGAAGGGTTCTTTTTTCAGTTTTCAAAATACATTAAAGGTTTTATTAAATTTTATTGGGAGTTTTGTTTTATATTTTGGTATATAATTTGTTTTCTTTTAGGAAGTTAAATATATTGTTTGGTTTAGTGCTTTGAAAGAGTTTTGTATTGTTTGCTTTATAATATTTTGTTTGGATTTGACTGAAACGAAGGCAATACCCGAGGTACTTGACATCTGTTGCATGATGGGATTTCATTTTTGAGTTGATGTGAATGTGTCAGACGTGTACGTCTTATTCGGAGTTCGGATAAAACTATTTTCTCCCGTCTTATTTTTCTGAAACCTGGGAGCTATTATCCCAAAATGTTTTGAATATCGTATAGTTTTTTTAGTTTTTAAGTCCCATATTGCTAGCCATTTTGTTTTTATATATTCTCTCATAGATAACTACAGGAACAATTCAAAGTAAAGAATAAACAACATAACTACTTAGGAATTCAAATCGTAGAAAAATTCTTGATGTAAAGTGGCACTGATCTTTTATTGAGGTTTGATCGCTTTGCAAAAACCGGAATGGAAATTGCGAAATCAAAAATGAAAAAAGCAAAAAACAAAACAAAACAAAAATCAAGATCGAGTTGAATATTCAACCAGTAGCTGAAATAATCAACAATACACAAAGTTTGTCTCTAGCACAAACTGAAAGCAAACAGGAAACTCACCGATTCAAAAATATAACCTTTT